TTTGGGTTTAGGGGTCTGGGTTTTGGGTTTAAAGTTCAGGGTTCAGGGCTTAGGGTTTCAGGGTTGAAGGGCTTGGGGTTTTCATCTCTTCAGGGCTTGTAGGTTTAAGGGTTGAGGGGTTTGGGTTTAGGGTTCAGGGCTTAGGGCTTTCAGGGGCTTGTGTTGAAGGATTAATGTTCAGAGTAGGGTTTATAAGGGTGCGCATGTCAAGGGTTGAGGTGGTGCAAGTGGTATACATATCCGAGCGGAGAGGGGGGGGGGTCATTTTGGTAATGTTGGTTCGCAAGTGAAGTGGTCCAAGTGGTATCCGAGGGGCGAGTGGCACAAGTGATGCAAGCAGTATGGGCCCGCGGCCAGCAAGACTACCAACATGACAGGCCCTTCCCCTTCAGAAAGCGAGGCCAAGAAAACCAACATGATGCGTCATTTTGCCCCAGCGCGCCAAAGCCAAGAGACCAACATCACCGTGCCTGTCTACTACTACTACTACCACCACCACCACCGCCAGCTGCGTCACCATTATTCATTGTCGTTGTTATGATTACGATTACTATGATCACAGCCATGTTGTTTTTAATGATGCTATTCATGCTATACCCCTATCCCCCTCAACACAAACAAACCCCCAACCACCCCCACCCCACCAAAGATTCTTCAAATCCCGTGCCCCCGTTACCTTCCGCACCCCCCCAAGCCCCTAACCCCTCCTACTTAGTTCGCGGCCGCTTGCGCTGTCTTCTGGCTGCATGAGCCACATGAGCATATAGAACTGCTGAAAATCATTGCAGGTCCGTTGACCCGCAAACACATATGCAGCTTGCAATTTTGATTGCGTGCCCAGTGCACCTGCGGATTTTGCTGACCAAGGCGATGAAAACAAGAAAAGCAGATGACAAAAGCAACATCGTGTTTGTTGGCGGGTTGCGGAAGAGCACCACGGAGGACGGCACCGGCAGGGTTGCAAGAACAACACATGCGGTTCGAACTGTGCCTGCTGATTCGCGTATGGGGTTCGAAGGATAAAGTGGCTGGTCACTTTTCCAAGTTCGGCCAAGTCGATAGTGCGGTGGCCTCGTTGCTGCCGTCGCTTGTGCAACGGAAACCGTCATGTCTTCCACGTGCATGCGACCTTCACTCTGCGATGCATCAGGTAGACATCAAAAGGCTACCAGACGGCACATCTCGAGGGTTTGCCTTCGTCAAGTTTGTAGAGGCCAGGGGTCAAGATTCAAAAGATAACAGGTCTTCAAGTTGACAACTGCTTGCTTGGCAGGTTGAATCCATCGCAAAGGTCTTGGAGGCCCAGAGTAGTCACATGCCACTTGGATGCCGCAAGTAATTAATGCTTCGCGTTCACCCACAGCATATCAGTGGGTGTGTGTGTGTGTGTGTGTGCGCGGGTGGGCGTGGGTGGGTGGAGTCTGCGTGCTTGCTCGGCCAAGGATTGACAACAAGTGGGTGGCAGTCAAGCCGCACGGTGGAACTGCATTCACGGAAGATAAGAACCGAGAAAGAGCCAAGGCGAGGACATGTCACATCGGGTTTCCTGGATAGTTATGTAAGTTGTATGTGCGCATGCTTTTCATGTCATATTATACCATTTAACATCATGTCTCATCTCCCCTCCTCCCATCTCACCTTGTCTTAACATCATTCCCACCACGTACATACATTACAATACACATATACATGCGCACAGAGTTTCCTGAGAGCTCCCATTTATAAGTATGAGTGTAAACTGGGGTGCGAAAACTTGGATAGACTGAGGTACCTCGCGCGTTCGGGTCGTAAAATTTCTTGCGCACGACCTCAAACTCCTCTTCGATGCAAGGTGCCAAAGTGAACCTCAAAAACAGGAGTGAGCCGTGCCTCGTGATGGGAACCTCGTAACCATCGGGTGTTGAAAGTATGTTCTGAGCCCTTGACGAAAAGAAGCACGTCAGACTCTGACCTCAGAAGTCTACCGACTGAAACTACACAGTAGGGAACGTCGCAGACGCAAAAGTGGAGGAAGCAGGGCTGACCCTCAAAGTCGACCTTCACATGTCTCCGTCCATAAACCGTCAAAGGTTGACCTGAAATGCTTCGCAAAGGCGGGGCTTTCCCTGTGAGTGGCAGAAGTGACCACTCCGAAGCAAAGTCCTTCGCACAACAATTCGTGGCAGCACCTGAAGCGAAAAGTACCCAGAGATCCGTATCTTCCAAAGCAGATGCCACCAGATGCGCTTCCAAAGCAACATCCTTGAAAGCCGCATTCAAACTCTTAAAGACCGACTTAAGACCGAGATCACCAACACTGAAAAGTCGTTGGTTCTCCTCCTGGCGGGCATAAAAAACAAAGTCTCAAGCGGTGCCATCCAAACCGGGGGCACAACTTCGGCCGCCTCACCGAAAACCACCAAAGGTGAAGTTTACAGCTCCATTCGTCGTTCCATCTAATTGGAAAGAGCTGCCCAAACCTACCAAGCATAACAGCTGACATGAGCAGAATGCTACTAAGTTTGGCCTTAGCTCTGGGCTTTGCTTTTGCTGCTGAAAGTCCGTTCTGATGGTCCTTCCACAGCCACGGCTGACACAGGCAAAGTCGTTGCCGTGCTTGACGATGAACCCTCTTCCGTCGGCTTCTGTGGCAAAGTTTCGGCCTTCGCTGAAGAAGCGGCCTCGAAAGGCCATTGATCTGAAGCAAAAGTCCGAAGACCAACCTCAAGCGTCCCAAGACTCCCATAAATCCCAAGACCAAAGTGAATGATCCCAAGTCTGACCCCAACTGCTGTCATTGTAAAAGATTCGTTGATCGCGTGATCGCCCAGTCGATCCACTCCGACCAGTCGTCGGACTCACCAAAGTAAGTCCAATCTGCTGGATCCTCAAGCGTATAAAAGTTGATCCCCGCCTTACTACTATTACTACTACTACTACTACTACTACTACTACTACTACCACTACTACTACTACTACTACTACTACTACTACTACTTCTACAACTGCTGCTACTGCTACTACTTACAAAAATGCTTGGGGAGGAGATGGTGGCTGTCAGATGCGACCGGCTGCCATACCCCCCAAACCAACCTGGGATGTCTGCTTAGTTTGAATTGCAAGCCCCTGTGAAGCAGCAGGCGTTGACATTTACATATTACGGGCAAGGTACGACCGAGAATGAGTCGGGATGTTGACACAGTGGGGCGGCTCAGATGACCCTACTGCGTGTCAAGGGGGGGCGTTGAAATCGTCCCCAGCGTGGTTCCCGGTGGGCGTTGGTGATACAAGCGACGCAGACGGAGATTATCACTGGCTCGGTGTTCCCCGCTGACCTGGCTACAAGTTCCTTGTGACTCTCATGGGCTATAGTAGTTGGGATGAAAAAAACATTGCCCTCTGTGTCGCTGCCATCGCTGCCAAGACATAGTGAACGGAGATCTGAAACATGCGAGACCTTGTGAGATGCTAACAAGACTTGGTCCACATGTCGGATCAGATAAGCCAACTTGGGGTTGCTCTGAAACGATCCCTGGCGCTGTCTTTCCCTGACACGCCCGGCAACTCAACCTTGCGTAGTACTGCCTGTGTTTGGTTTGTTCCCGGAGTATTATGGCAACTAACCCTTGTCAAACTTGTAAACTTAGTTTGTCGCCGCCCTACACGACAAGAAGTGGATGGTGGAATTCCCCTTGGAGATGTCATCAGGCAACATTTTACTTTGCTGGATTGCTGATGCCATAATGCCCCTGTGATATTTCTGAGTGTTGTTGCCAACTGAGACCCCGGAGCTGTCATTGGCGTGCCAGGTGGGTGACAAAAAACGGTTGCTACTACCACTACCACCACCACCACCACCACCACCGCGACTACTACTACTACTACTACTACTACTACTACTACTGCTGCTATACTACTAAAGTCCATAGTCAGTTCGCAGCTTCGGCAATGTGAGAAGGAAAAAGTTCTTGCAAAGAACATGCAAAACTCCGGGTCGTGTGCTCCGGAGGTTTTGTTCGCAGCCTTCTGTGCTGAAGCATGCAACCGAAGAAGCTGATCGCCGCGAGAATCCGTGATATGGTTCCAGCATTGCGAGTCAACGTTGTTAGAGTCGGCGCCACATCAGGATTAGTCGACCTGGGCCCCGAATAACTCTTCCAAGCCTCCTACCGTGGCTGAGCAAAAGCCCATTGAATGCAAACAGGTCCATGAGGCAACAAGTCAACACTTTAGGTTTCGCATGCTGAAAAGCCCGATTGTCCAAGCTAGAATGCAGATTGTCTGACAGCATGTGACAGTCAATACCCAATGAGCTGCACTTGCGCACTACTTCGTGCCATTCACTTTTGCTTTGATTGACAGACAACCTGCGTGTCAAGGAGGCAGCTGAACTAGCTCGACAGAAGCAAAAGAAGGCTGGGCAACGCCAGTGTCCAAACCTAGTTGGCACTCAATTGTTTGCGGATTGTGGCTGCTTGAAGGACGACTCTAGAGTGGAGTCTGCCGACGATTACGATGAGAAGTGGTCAGAAAATTATCTGCAGGCCGCAAGAGATTTCGGTTCAAGTTGTGCGGCTGCTTTTCACCTTGGCACATCGCAGGCTGCGGCGAATATGGGTGCAAACAGTGGCGAGGATGCAAAGGGTGACGGACAGCAGGCCTTTCGTGCATGGCCGGGGCACGATTCAACATGATCCAACGATCCCTGTCTTTGCGCGTTTATTTACGCTGTCAGGCAAATCCAATGGCAGCGATGGGGGTGCGGAGCCCAATTGGGCATCATCACGGAAGCACGAAGTCATAATCACAATCGTTCTTCTCCTGACCTGCAAGGCCATGATGCAGATGATGGGCATGATGCAGATGATGGGAGGTGGCATGCCAGGAATGTGTGGGGGCATGATGAACCCCATGATGAATCCCATGATGGGCGGGATGGGGAAGGGGGCATGCCCGGCTTGCCCCTCCGGTTGTGGATGTGGTTGCTGCGGCGGTTGTCCTGGATGCGGATGCTGCCCCACTAGTTGTCCTGGCTGTGGAGGGTGTCCTGGTGGTTGCGGTGGCTGCCCTGCTTGCGGCGGATGTGCAGCGGGCAGTTGTGGGGGTGGTGGCTGCCCTACATCACCTGTTCCGACAGCAGAGGACGCGCCTGTAGCCACTGCACAGCTGACCCGAGATACCGGCGATCGTTTGGCGCCCGTGTCAGGAAAACAGCGAAGCAACTGGGTGTGGCCCCGTGAAAAACGAGGGCGGTGGTGCGACGGAGCAGCTCTGATCAACGGCAGTCGTTTTTCCTTGAAACCTGCAACGTGTCGCGGCACGCAGTTCTTGATTCAGTCGCATGTTGCTGTCGGGCTTCCAAGGCGGTCACAGCCGTACTGAGAGAGGCGAGAGCAGTGCATCCACGGCATACACGCTATCATACACTTTCCAGCTGATCGGTCGTCATCGCAATGCATGCTTGAAAGAGCACTCCACGTCAGCGTTTCAGCTTGCAGCTGAAAGTGGGTTGCAGCAACGTCTGCACTGCGTTTCGCGGCTCTCCAGCATCACTGAACAGCCACCCGCACTTGATGTTTGTACGAGATTGGGAGTGTTGAAGCCATTCAGTGGTGCCCAGCTCGTGCACTTAGACGGGCCCGATTCATGTCGAGCCCAGAAGCGTCGCCATTCGGTCTCACATCATGTAGAAAAGGAGAGGGTGTGTGTGACAAGACCTTAGCAGTGCTTGCAGTGGACAGACAGATGTAACAACCGTAGCATGAAACGCTTGAAAGATTGAGACCCCCACAGTACCGCACAACCTCGAGGCAGCTTGAGGGCATGTCAGCATGGCCCCGGCAAGGGCAACGTCACCCTCGTTTTGCTGGAGTGGGTGGGGGCCGTAGCCAGGCTATGGCTCCAGGATGAATGTGCAAAGGGCAGGAAGTAGTGCCTACTGGGATTCGGAAGCATGGAACCCAGATGATCGTGTTTATGTTGGTGCCTCCGAGGGCCAAAAGCTTTGGCCTCAGTGATGCAGCCGTTACCCGTCGCTGCAAGAAGGCTGAAAAGGTTTGTTTATCTTAACAGAGCTGCGGCTCACTGCAGGCATCACCTCCGAGCAGTTGCTCCAGCCTCTTTCCTGCAAGCCTAGTTTCGAGAGTATCAGCACAAGAGAGAGAGAGAGAGAGAGAGAGAGAGAGAGCGCGAGGAGAGCGCTCTTGCTCTCCTTTGGCTGTGCAGAAGAAGAGAGAGAGAGAGAGAGCGAGACAGAGAGACAGAGAGAGAGAGAGAGGGGCCATGTGGCCAGGGGGCCTAACAAGCTCCTTTGCCCCTGTGGAAGAAGAGAGAGAGAGAGAGAGAGAGAGAGAGAGAGAGCGAGCGCGCACTGTCTGTTCGACTCAAGTAAGACTGCTATTCCCGATGAGGGCCAAGGTCACTGAGCAGAGACCCCGTAACTAGTACTACAACCCCCTGACCTCATCAGGCTCACACCGGATCTGTGCCCCCTCTCGCCGCATATTATTTACGCGCAGAGTGCAGTGCCTTGCCGTGCTCTTGACTGTGTGGAAGAAGAGAGAGCGAGCGAGAGACTGAGAGACCAAGGATAGGGGTAGGTTAGGCATGTAGGCTGAGGCAGTGAGTGTGCACTATGGTCCTTGGGAAAGGCGGGGTGTCGCCGATGTAACCTTACTTTCTCCGGAACATGCTGCGTGATCTTGTGACAGCTGCTGTTCTTTTGCCTTGCATCATGCATCCCAAAACCCGCTACTCAGTATCACACCGAGGGCAGTCCCATCAATGCATGGGGGGAGGCCGAAACTAAGAGCCGGTTGCGCGGGGACCGCGCGCAACGGGGGTGTGTTGCCACGGTAGGCCTGCCCAAAGACCTACAGCAAGCAAGCAAGCAAGCAAGCAAGCAAGCAAGCAAGCAAGCAAGCAAGCAAGCAAGAGACGGTGCGAATCTGGACTCGGACACTCAGCGTAGCGTGATGAGCGCAGGAGGGCGGGGGCTCAACTCGGTCTCCATATGCTGAGCAAGCTGCAAGCAAGCAAGCAAGAGAGACGGCGCAGGATGAGGACTTTTTCATGGTCATCCCCTCCACCTGCTCAAGGAAAAACGTCTTGGGTCTTGCCCGGTCTATGTAGGCTAGCACAGGCACGATCGAGGAGCTCCTCGGATCCTTGCTGCCCTCTTGCTTGCCAGATATCCACCGTTGCCTGCGTACTGCGGGCATTTTCATTGCCGGAACGGCGGAGTCTTTTTTTGTTGTGCTTGACTGCCCCTGTCTTTGCTTTTCGCACTGCTGGCTGCCCGGCCAGAGCCGCTCTCGTATCGGCCAGACCCATGGCGGGCCAATACCACTATGGATCGGGGCGGATTGTAGGTCATGTCTCTTTACCGCTTTCTTTACACAGTCTTCCGTGGCATCCTCACCTGGGGGCGAACATCGCCAAACTGGCCGATCCCACGCAGACATCCAACCCAAGGAGGGCTTTATGCCCTGCGACAGAAAGACACAGAGGGATCTTGGCATGCAAGCAAGCAAACAAGCAAGCGAGTAAGCCAGCAAACACCGGCGCAGAGGGAACCCCACAGCAAGAAAGAGCGGGGTCTGAACAGGGGGGCTGACGAGCCCTGACAAGACAAGGGAATTTCCCACCAGTTCGCCGAACAGTAGCACATAACAGCACCCAGCAACAGAAAAGGCGCCACTAGCTTACCGGAATCTAAACACGTGCACTGTCGAATTCCGTGCTAAAACTTGCGACAACAGTAGCAGGAAACCTTGCCACAACTCATTTAGGATGTTGCATGCCGAGGGCAGTGTTTACATCCGTAACCAGGTCCAGGCAACCGTGTCCCTGGAGGGCCGGCTTCTCTTTTCACAGTCAGCCGAACCCGGCAAATCGCCTGAGGAGTGCGCTCATGATGCGCCGCTCATGCGCGAGGCGGCAAGGTAGTGCGCTGCCTATTCCAAACTTTGGAGAACGAGCGAGCTCCGGACAATGACAGTTTAGTGCTGTTACGGTGCTGTTCTGAGATCACATTGGAGCTTGTGCAGCGGTGGTCTGCCAATTTGTGTGGTTTGGCTTCATACGGAAAAGCGTTCCTAGAGCCAGAGGGCATGCAGCATCAAGAAAATCAGAGGAAGAACAAGCGCAGGCCAATGACGAATTCCAATTGCTGGGACACTGCTTCTGTTGGAAGGCTTCCTTTTTCAGATGCTGTGGGAATCTCGGACAAGGGTCTCTTCACTCTTGTTGAGGCATGCGTGTGCCAAATTTCATGTGTGTCGTCAATACTCGAGACAGTTGGCGGAGTGGCCAGTCCGCATTCCCTTCGCCGAACTCATCTAATCAGTTGAGAACAAGCCCAACAACGCGTTTGCGGACACGCGCAGGTCCCGTGAGAGTGGTACTGTGCCACAAGAAAGACAGAGACAGGATTCAACTTGAGTTTTGTCGCTTTTTTGCTTCATGTAGCGTGCTTGGAACGAGGAAGCCGGTGGGTACGGAGAAGCTTCCCATGTGGAGCAGGACATCTTCGTGGCTAGCTGCGTGTAGCTTTCCGGAGATCTGCTTGCAGCCGCCTGCGGGCTTGTCGGTGGGCGTTTCGACATTGCTTTGTCTGCTGCCCGTGGCCTTGCTTGGCAGCCAGGGTTGATCTGAAGTCGCAAGTTGGTATCATAGCTGCGTCCCACACGCCTGCCATGCACGCTGCTCGGTTGCTTAGTTGTCTGAATCTGGTGTCAGTTTTTCATGTGAATGAAGACTCAAGAATATCCCAAACCTGAGGAGCAAGAGAGATAGAAAAAGCAGCGACGCACATGCACGAGCACACACACACACACACACACTCTCTCTCTCATAACAGCAAAAAGTGCGCCGTGCCATGCCGTGTCATGTACTCATTGCGGGACCGCGACTTAACTCCATTGACGGAGGGAGCCGCAGCATCCCAGGCCGCCAAGGTCGAACCATGGCTGGCAGCCTTGTCCGGGAAGGACGAGAGGGCACCGGAAACCGCACGGTCAAGGCCCGCGTCTGTGCCAGCCGCTCAGCTGTATGGTACTCGTAAGGCAAAGGGGCGTCGTGATGAAGTGCCGCCATTGACCACTCCCACACCGCAGTCAAGCAGCACGACGTCTGCCAGACAGCTTGGTGAGAGGGATGCTGACAAGGGCACACGGCATGCAGGCGAGTTCGAACAACTCAAAGCACAGCATGCCGAACTTAGGGCATCCTACAAGGAATTGAAGAGCCGGTTTGATAAACGCGGCCTGGAGATATCCAGGCTTCATGACAGGATTCGAAGGTTGGAGAAATCAGCCCAGACAGTCCAAGAGAAGAAAGAACCCTGTGAAAGAGGATCAAGCATACTGCTTTGTCGACAAGCCTGCTGCATTCCTTTGATTCGTTTGGAGAAGGCTGGGCTTAATGTAGAAGCCGTGCAAGACTTGGATGCTAAGTGGGCGGGCTATGTCTTCAGTGTGTTGACCGTGCAAGCCAAGTCGTCTGGAATGACCTTGTATGAAATCTTTCGGAAACATACCGATGCGCACGGACGGATCGGTGAATCTGCATTCAGAAACTTGATTCGCCAATTCATTCCAACCATGTCGGAGGAACGATTGACGCGATTATTTTATTTTGCAGACACAGATGGTTCCGGCATGCTGAACCTTCTGGAGTTTCTCCGGCTGTTTGGCTTTGACATGGATGGGAAGATGGGGGAGGAGTATTTCGAGCATGTGATGGTCCGAATACAGAAGGCTGTCTCCAAGAACGGTGGCTTCATGAACGTGTTGAAGCTGAGTGACAAATACTTGAATGCAAGTTGCAGCCGACAGCGGCTGGTGGATGCGATCAGTCCAATTGCTCCCTCCTTGACAAGGGCCGAGATCTATGAGACCACGGCGCGATTCCTTATTCCAACCTCCGGTGAAGTCAACGTAAGAGACTTCAGCGATGCAATGGAGCTCTGTGCATCTTCAGCATTTGTGAGCGAAGATTGGGTGCACAAGCTCTTCAAGCAGGTTTCGACCACAATTCAGAAGCAGCACAACTTGAAGGCTATGCTCAAATCATTGGGCCCGAACGGCACGCTTGGGCGGGAGGATTTGCGAACTTTTCTGCGCCAGTTCCAGCCAAACCTATGTGACAGCCACATCAACAGAGTCTTCGGATTCTTGAGCGCGAGCTGCCCCACCGGAGCAGGAAGCATTACTGTGCATCACTTGCTGGACACGGTTTGCCGACCCACGCTTGGACCCGTCGTCGGTGCAGAGCAGTCACGGCTCCCGCTTGAGGACACCTCTCGCTTAACGGTGCAGCTTGCGCAGCTGTGTGGAGGATTAGAACAAGCTTTCGATCACCTCAACCCATGCCTGCTGTACCAAGAGTTTTGCACCTCACTGCAATCACTTGGCTTCAGCAGCGCCTTTGACTTCGAGAAGATTTTCTCTGTCCTAGATGTGCATCGCAGCGGCCGCGTGTCAAAGTCTTTGTTCCTGTCAGTCTTGGAACGCTTTGTTCGCCCGGAGACAGAGAGGTCTGAGAGCGAGGATCACGGCTCCCTCCCGCCGGTGTCGTCCAGCTCGACGCGAAAGCCTTTGGAGGCAGATCGAGTGGCAGATGAGTTAGCTGACAGATTGCAATATTTGCGGGAGAGCTTTCAGGCACGTAAAAACGTAGGCAAGAACCCAACAGTTTCTGCGGCAGTCCATGAAGAACTATTGCATGAGCTGCAACGTGGCGTAAATCGTCTTCTGGTCCTCGAATCTGAACTGCAATATCGCCAGCGACAAGAAGAGCGCGATGAGATCCATATGAGAAGAGGACTCGTGGACCAGTTGCGAGACCTGGAAACTGCGCATGCGCGTCTTATGGCCAAGCTCAAGGTGCAGGCAGAGACGATTTCAGGTCTCAGCAGCGCGCAGAAGACAGCCACTTCTGCGACTTCGGATGCATGGGAAGCTGGGTACAGCCAAGGCATCACAGAATATCAATCTCAGGTCGACGAGTTGCAGAAGGAGCTCGACATTGCAAAGCTAGAGAAGCTACGATTGCAAACGCAAATGTTGGAGAGGGAGCAGAAAGAGCAAAGTTCGCAAGTGAAGCTGACCACAGGCGATGTTCAGCTCTCTGCTGATGATTCGTCCAGCACGGCTCTCGTGATCACCGACGGCGATGATCGTGAAGACGCTAGAACCCGGGATGACGCAGAGGGAGTTCTGCGAGAAGCTCTGAGCTGGTTCGCACACGGTCGAAAGATTGATGCCCTGCTTTCAAAAGTGAGAGGTATCTCTATTGCTGGCCGTTTCATTGTAAAGGAAGTAGCCACCGTGGAGGCCGATGCTATAACACTGGCATGCACAGATGCTTTTAAGAAGCGAGAAGTGACACTGAAAACACCCATTGTAGACTGCGTGAAGACTCGCGCAAATTTCTTGCGGGAATGCTGTGTTTACACAGCTCTTTCAGATGTGGCAGAGGTTCAGGCCGTCATTCATTTTCCTGGTCTTACGGCCGGGTTGGCGTACTGTGTTATGGAACTCTTACATGGACGATTGCTCTCGCAACATTTGCAGAAGATCCGCGCAGGCCCGGCAAAGGGAATGCAAGAATGGGCAAGAAGAGTGGTAAGGAGGGTCTTGCAGGAGCCCTTGGAGTCAAGTTTTTAGGGGTTCAGGAGCTTCCACGGGAGCGGACTTGTTGAAGGTCTTCTTTCGTCTGCTGTGAGGACACAGAGACTCAGCCACGGCCCTAGGGTCAAGGAACATGTTAAGAATCTAACTGTCGACTCCGGCATGGGCGGCAGCAGAGGCCTGCACTGCTCCGCACACTGAGAAAGTGAAAGGGACGCCTGCGGCCCTGATAAAAACGCTCAGAGCTCGACGAAGGACTTGTGCCAGAAACACTGTTTCCAACAGTGCGAATTGCCTAAACACAATAATGGTGAAATGCTCCGGCACAATGTATAGTTGGGAAGGGAGAGTGAGCTCCAAACATCTCCAAACACCTCCCTCTGAGGGGCTCCTACAGTAGTCATCACCTTAATGGGCAGGCAGCCCCACAATAGTTATTAATTAGTTTGCAGTTCCTGTGGCTTGACTTGGGGCTATCAGTACATTGACATCATTCGACCTATAGAGAATTCTGAAGCTGCATCCTCTTTCTGCCGGTTCTCCGTGCTTGTGGTTCTGCGACACCTTCGTTTAAGCTTTTTCTGGTCCCACCCTCGGAACACCATTGGTGGCCTGGGAATCAGTTTTAAGCTCTGCAGTAAACCCAAACAGCCGAAACCCCAAACAGGTGCAGAAGAGCCATTCCCAGCACACGAAGCCGCCGACATCTGTGATGCGATGCTGCATGGAATCGAAGCATGCCACGCACGAGGCGTCACCCACCTGGACTTGAAGCCGTCCGTGATTTGGGAGGTAGCACAGCCTGCAGGAGTCGTCGTGAAGATCTTGGATTTTGGCCTGGCCCGTCTTTCCAACTTGGCATTGCTTCCTCCAGACGCACGGCAGTTCTGCAGGCCAGCTGGACATGAAGATGGGGTCAGCCCACGTTTGCACTTTGACGACATGCCGGAAGCATCGCAGCCACCCGCTACGCCCGCTACGGACTCTTGGCAGCGGGTTGCTCCATTCGCGAGCTTGCCTGGGGTTGGGTCTCCATGGTACATGTCTCCCGCACGATGGTGCGGGCTCGCACAGAAACTGCAACAGCCATCAAGCGCTCAGCCAGTTCTACACCTATGTAGGATATACTCCGGAGGAAATGTTTGGTTAGAGCGTGAAAACGGACAGGACGTCGTTGGTGTCAGCAAGGCCTGTGCTGGCTCATCTGCTGTCCAAGGTGCGAGATGTGCGGCACAGTTTCCAGAGGGAGTGTATTTCGAAGTGCAAGTTCGAAAATTATGGCCGACAGCGATGACAGCCCCCGGCACGGAATTGGGGACAGGACTGGCCGTGGGCTTCACGCCGATACCGCCGTCTGGGGTTCCTGCGCTTGCTGGTCGCGCTAAAGATTGGCCAGGCTGGGTAGTGGGGTACGACGGCAGATTCTTCAAGAACGGTGAACAGGTTGTGCCAACTTTGGATGCACCGCAATTTGCACTGCTGGAGTTCCGGCGCCGGAGAGAAGCTAAGCTTGCTGCTGCCGGGACAGATGATGTCGACTGGCCAGCTGGGCCTTTGGGCTGGTCCTTCGCAGAGCTGCTACGAGATGATGTTCTCGGGCTGCTCGCGACTTCGCAAAGCTTAGTAATATATGTAAACGGAAGGGTTGTTTCAAGCATTGTTGCAGATGGAATTGGTGATCACGGCCCTCTGTACCCTTTGATCGAAATCTGTGGCGTGACGAGGGAGCTGGTATTCTTCTCCAAACCTTCGGGCCCAGGTGGTGAAGAGGAACTGGATGAGCGATTCAGGACGAAAGACCGACAAGTCACAACAATTGAGAGTCTGGCTCCCCGGGCTTTGAGCCATTTTTCTGACGTGTATGCTGCTGCTGTAATCGCAATGCAGCTCTTCCAGAGTGATGTTCAGCCAGAAGCTGCGCCGCCTTTGGTCCAACTCCTGCTGGCGACCCAGATGTGGCTCGAAGATGGGCGGCCACCCATTGCCGACCACAATGGCATGCTCGTGGCCTTGAGTACCTGGGCAGTGGCTGTTTCTGAGCAGACCAGCATATCAGGTCGCCGACTGCCTGCTGAGATTGAGGAGGTCATACATCGCGTTTTCGAGTCCAGTGGTGCAGCCAACAATGCAGCCTCACGAATGATACGAACAGCTGAGGAGTTCCGCTCTGCCCTGAACGAACGGACAGCTTGCAACCATGTCTCTCAAGAGTTCTTGCGGAGTCATATTTCCCAACATGTGGCACCAACCTCCAGGAAGCGAGTTCCCACCAAAGGAATGCAGGAGTCTGGCGTTGATCTTTCAGATGAAGCAGAAGGCATGCGGTGGGACTTGACCCCCTGGACACTGTCATCCTCGCACATCCGGCGCGTACTCGTAGTTTTGCAATCGCCGGACAGTTTGCACATTCGATCCGTGAGCATCGGGAGGCTGGAAGCAAACGTCCCTGACGAGTTGCAGCTGCGATTCGCTGAGTGCTTTGAAGGTCCAACCAGCTCATGCCGTGAAGCACGAGAAGGTAGCTCAAGTTGTCATCGGGCTTTACCTCGGCTTTTATTTCGTGAAGACCCGCTGCCGACAGACATGTGCCCCGTGTCTATGAAACAGCTGCTAGAAGCCAATGCTACTGGCTTGTTGCTGCGATTCGTTCGGCATTTTGATCTACAGGCAGATCTCGAAGAAACTGGAGACTCCGACTTCTCTGGTCCGGCGGCTGCCAAAGTGATTGGGACGGCACTTCGCGGAAATGGAGCCCTCGAAGTGTTGAACGCAAGAAACCAGCATTTTGGTGATACCGGCGTCCAGCACATCAGCAAAGCATTGACACAAGGATGTCGGCTGTGTCGACTTGACCTGGCTCAAAATCGAATCACGCCAAGTGGTGCTCAGTTGTTGGCACAAGCGCTGATGAGTTCTGGCTGCACAGTGCAACACCTGGAGCTTTGCGGAAACGAATTCGGGTGCACCGGCACTGCATACATGGCTGATATGCTACAAGGGAATGACACCTTAATTTTCCTGGGGCTTCAGCGGAATGCAATTGGTTCTAGTGGCGCCGTCAGCTTGGGAAGTGCTTTGGTGAAGAACTATTCCCTGCAAGAGCTTGACTTGGGACGAAACTGCGTAGGAGTTTCTGGCTCTGCGGCATTGGCAGCTGCCACACGCTCCAACTCGTCCTTGCAATGCTTAAATTTGCAGGACAACCAGTTAGAAGTCATGGCCGGGACGAAGCTGGCCGAAGAGCTGAGTGCCGGTCTACAAAGGGATCTGGACGGCTTGTTGGATGCTTATTTGTCCAAGGCCACTATGCCGCGTCGATCTGTGAAACAACGTGATGGGCCCACAGGTAGCCGGCTCGTTAGGTTGAATTTGCGGCACAATGCCCTAGGTAGCTTGGGTGGAGCTGCAATTTTAGCAGCTCTCCAGTTCACACGTACACAGCTGTCTGAACTCAATCTTGCTTGGAATGGTTTGGGCATGGAGACTGCGGCAGCTCTGGCGGGCCTGCTCGGAAATAACTCCATGTGCAGATTGACCAAACTAGATCTTCGAGACAATCGAGGCTTGGGCATTGGAGCAGAGCTACCCAAAGCGCTGGGCGGCCTTGTGACTCAACTGGCGAGTGCAAGTCCTGATGATGAAGGCAGCAAGACCCCACGGTCCTCTGGACGACGCTCCCTGAAGCGAGACGAATCAGATCGCATATCTGAGCTTCAGCTCTCTGCACAACACGTTCGAAGCCTGAACTTGGCCAACACAGGCTTAGACAGCGAAGGAGCTCTCCTCCTTGCTCCGGCTTTAGCTTTCTTCTCCAATCTGGAGGAGCTTTACCTCTACAACAACATACACCTAGGTTGCGCCCCACGGACCGCTGAGCAAACCTTGGCCTCGCAGGATGAATGGCAAGACCGCAGCATGAAGAAGAAAACTCCACTCATATCCGCTTCTGACGGCATTTGCCACCTGACTCGCTCCCTGCCTCCATGCCTGCTAAAGCTGGCGTTGGGCTCGTGCTCACTTGGTGCAGGCCTGACTGCAGACTTGCTGCAGGTTCTCACATCACATTCAATGTTGCAAGATCTGGGCCTCAGCGACAATGATTTGGGAAATGACGATGCCGGAGGTGAAGAACGCCTGCGCGGCAACATTTGTAGATTTGTCCAGTGCTCGCCATGCCTGGAGAGCTTGGACCTGGCATTGAATGGATTGGGTGACGAGTGCGCTTTGAGCATCATGTCGGTCATGCAGGAAGACAAGCTTGTGAAAGTGAACTTCAGTGCCAACAATCTTTCCCAGAGCTTCAAGATGTTGTTGCAAGGGGTCTCTGCCGTGCAAGTCGCTGCTGCGGATATCGACGCTCCCCTGTCCAAGGCTGGTTCCTCATCACACGCCTCACCCGACTAGCGCTACTTAGCCTTTCCGATTCATTGTTCTGCAATCAGATGACAAGGGAGACGGGACAATTGAAGCAAGGGCGGCAGCAGCACACGAGGGGAGAGAGAGTTTGGAATTGTCGCTTCTCGAACAGCATCTTGCCGTGTCCATGTTCTAATGCGTGAAAGCTCTACATTGCAGGTGGCGGAGGAGCTCGTGCAGATCCTACAGGCATCACCGAGTATGGGCAAATATTTTCAAGCAGGGTGAGATGACGCTTCACGCATGTCCCTGCTGTAATTCGAGAGCGGGCTGCGAGCCAAGCCAAAATCGCCAAAGCCGTAAAAGGAAACGGGCTGAATCAGGTCCTTTTGTTTCCGACGGCTGGGCATCAATGTGCGTGTGTCACCGTATCACCTCGACAAGTCGAGAAGAGCTGGCACAAAGTGCCACCAACCTACAGGATGGAGAAGACGTGAGAAAACCAGAGGATGTGCGGCCTGTTGCTGCTATGTTGAACCGATGTCTTGGGATTAGGAAGCATGTTTCAATCCGGTGATGTTCTGTTGCAGGCAGTGGGTCACCAAACTGCGCTTCACACGCTGAGTGGCAAAAGTGGAGATTACTGGGACTCTGCCGTGGAGGCGCAGAATGACACTGTTGACCGTTGGCATTACATGATGAAATGCCGCTGCATGTCGCGAAAATCGCTGTAGCTTCGGGCGCATGTGGGCGCCTGCTGCTACGGGGGATGTGATGGGTGTGTGATTTTTGGGTGAAGAAAAAAGGGTTTCGATGGAGCTGACATGCGGAGACTGTGCGTTGTTGAAACCTGTGCGGCATACACGGTTTCGGGCGCACACCCGCAGTGAACACCATAAAAACAAAAAAGTCGAAAAGTACATGTTCGGCCGGCAGACACGAGTAGAATGCCGAAAAAAAATAAACAAGCAAGCCACCGTGCATTCCCCGTGGTACGGGCAACAAACTGCCAAGACTTTTAAAATGTAAGAATGTATGATATGATGCACTACTTACCACAGCCCGGAATGTAAGATGGTAAAAACAGTCTACCGCACGAAAAAGTAAAAGTGAAAGAACTGGCAACGGAGCAAACACTGCAAAACTGCAAAAGCGGGCCGCGGAGCGAACAAGTTCAAACGAAAAAACCAGCGAACCAAACTAAACGTGTAAAATAGATGAAAATAGGCCATCGAGCGAAAACAGCGAAGAACAAGTAAAGGTGCAAAAGCAGGCCACTGAACAAAACTGAAAAACCGCAAGGCCCGTAAAGAATCAAATCATCCAGACGGGCCTCCGAGTGAGCACGCCAACAAAGTTTTGGAAAGAACGAAACAGAGTAAATGTTTAATTTCACTATATTTTCACCGCATTGGTGGACCCAGAGCCGAACACGGTAGAAAGCTAAGCACAGACCCCTCAATCAGTGACCGTGAAAAAGAGCTGGAAAAGCCTAAGACACCGTGAAGCCACCTCTTCTCAGAGCGGATTAGACCATGGACCCCATCATGGTTGGGCCATGGATGCTGTCTTCTCAGAATGGATGAGACCATGGGCGTCATCATCGCAGGGCCATGAATGTGCTCTTCTCAGGGCGTATTAGGCCATGGAGCCCATGGATGTCATTATGGTTAGGCCATGCAGGCTCTGTTCTCATAGCGGCTCCTAAAAAGTTAGGAGAAAACGCGAGTCTTGGACACGAAGCGAGCGAAAAACAAATGCAAATAAAAGCGACATAAACGTTTGAAAAGCATCCGCGGCAAAAGCCGAAGGCACCAACAAACTCGAGGAAAGCGCGCATTGCCGAGCAAGCAAGAGAAGGGACAAAGCGAACACACACGGAAAGGGGGTCGGGGCAGCAGGTCAGCCGATTTAGCTTGAAAAACCATCCTTAAACCCTGGCCCTGAACTTGTTCAATAATCAATAAGCCCTTTGGAACAGTTAATCCTCCTTTGAATCCTACCTGAAGCTTCCTACGCCGAAACAAAGCCGTTTGCGCTTGAACACCAACAACGACAACGCCAGCCTCAACAACAACAGCGCCACCGACAGCAACAGCAACAGCAGCAACAACAACAACAGCAGCAGCAGTAGCAGCACCACCAACAGCGACAACGACAACAACACCAGCAGCAACAATAACAGCAGCAGCAGCCGCAGCAGCAGCCGCAGCGGCAGCGGCAGCGGCAGGGGCAGCAGCAGCAGCATCACCACCAACAGCAATACCAACAACAACAACAACAACAACAACAACAACAACAACAGCAAGAACAAGAAGAGCAGGAAGAAGAAGCAGAACAACAGCAGCAACAACAACACAAGCAAAACCAGAATTCCCAATCCCAACCACAACAACAAGAATACGAACAAGAAAAAAAATAATAAGAACAACAGAAGCAACAGCAACAACCGCAAAAAGAAGAACAACAGCAATACCAAGAACAATACCAGCAATAACAATAAAAGAATTACGAACAATAATAAGAACAAGAGCAACAACAGCACCGACACCAGCACCAGATACCAACACCACCACCACCACCACCACCACCACCACCACCACACCATCGACAAGAACAAGAGCAAGAGGCTGTGGTTGGCCGTGATTTGAGCTGTTGTTTTTGGATGCGTGTTAGGCTGTGATTTGCGCCCTGTGATATAGGTTGTGGCCGGGGCCGTGATTTTGACCTTCTGTGAGAGCTGTTTTAAATTTCTAAAGGCCCTCCAACAGTAGCAGCAGCATCGCAAGCCGAGAAGGTCGGACAGGAATCACCGAGGGAAAATCACTGGAGCACCAGAGGAAAGTCACACAGACCCTCACAGCCGGAATCGCAGAAATATTTTTCAAGAATTTTTAGAGTTTGCATGCCCAGGGCAGTCATAAAACAACGATAGCGCAACGACAGCAGCAGCAGCAACAGCAACAACGAGAACAACAACGACGACGGCGAGGGCGACAACAACAACAACAACAGCACCAGCAGCAGCAGTAGCCGCCACAGGCAGCAAACAGCAATCGGAACCGCACAGCAGCTACGGTCACAACAGATAACCTTACCAAGCGCATGGTGAGGCCGCGGACACATCGCCACTGCCAGAGTCTGGGGGCATCTTGCACCGAGCTCAGTATTCGCAGGGCATGGGTGCAACCACGGACGGCTATGCGCGCAGATTGCTCGCCTCTATGGTTTGGTGGCTGCGTTGGTTTTTGTGCGTGTTTGCGCGCATGCGCAAGTCAGATGACTATTTACTTCAGTGCAGGATGGGCATCTGCACGTAGTGTAAACCTCCGCAAAGCCACAAGGAATCCTGAAAAGCGACGCCTCCGAATCTTATAGTCTTATAGTTTTAAAATATAAAAGTGTAAATAAACCCTATCCTAAATAAACCCTTCACGGCTAGGGGCTTAAAGCTCACGTGCGAAGCAGGCTTCGGGTCTTCGAGACTCTGGACGTTTTGTCGGCCTCACCGGGTTAGGGCTTAGGGCGTCGGGTTCGGCAGGTGCACTACGAGTAACTTCCTTTCCTTTGCCAGCGCTTTAAAACTTCGGGCTTGTTTGCTGTGTCTATATCGGTCAGACTCCTGTGTCTTGGGGTTCTGGTTTGCCGTTGTTTGCTATGTCTATTGTGGTCAGACTCCTGCGTCCTAAGTTCTGGTTTGTGGTTGCTCGCTAGGGTTCTGGTTTGCTGTTTTTTGCTAGGTCTTTTGTGGTCGGACTCCTTCGCGCTGTTGCTTGCTGCTAATTGCTGTCGCACTCCGTGTGTTGGGATCTGGTTTGCTGTTGTTTGCGACTCGCAGAACTACAGGACATACAACAGGAAGAGCGAAGGATCTTCTTAGTTTCTCTTTCGTTTATTCTAACTTCTTTATTTGCTTCTGTGTTTTTTGCGCTTTGTCTCTCTTATGCTCCTTGTTTCTTGATGGCCTTCTTTCTTTTGTTATTTATTTATGCATCATTGCTTTCCTCCTGCATTCATGCTTCATGCGTGTTTTGCTTAGTTCTTTCTGTCCTCCGCTCTGTCCTTTGTTCTCCCTGTTAGATAGATAGATAGATAGATAGATAGATAGATAATCATAGATAGATAGATAGATAGATAGATAGATATTTAACCTGCATATACACATACATATAACATATACATATATATATATATATACATGTATATACACACGGTTTATGTATGGTAGTGTTTCTGTATGTGGCCCCAACCCCCCCTGAAGCCCAGGCCCAAGCCAAGCCAAACCAAACCATTCTTAAGACATGTTAAGACTGCTTCTTTGTACTCCGTCGCATCGCTGCGGCGGCACAAGCTATTTTTCAAGACGGCGCGCTTTGCTTCATTACCGAGATCAAGAACACTACAGAAGCACTTCCATCAAGAACGATGATGCATGTCATGAGAACACTAGTTCTTCCCCCCAACAACTCCCACCGCCCCGCCAGCCACTTTTGAGATTGCCCCTTTGCGCTCTGCATCGGGTACATTTTGCTTGCGGCAATACAGAACTGCAAGGTGAGAGGGGGCGCTAGCTCCGGGAACTGAATTTGAGCAGTTTGTGGGCGGCTGCATTTTCAAGTGCTGTAGGGATGGCATTGAACACCAGGTCGAACACTAGATTTGTTGAAACTAGGGCCGAACGCGTTTATCAGGTCTCGCCTTTGTCGGCGGCTTCGAGAGCTCAATTAAAGCCTCGGGAGTGGGGCCAGGGGCACCAGCAAAGCTGAAACAGCTCCAAATGCGTGGAACCTGTCGCATCATGCGTCAAGCAATCCCTAGAGTCTATGTGTGCCATTCCAGTTGCAGACGAACGTGCCTGCAGCTGGATGCTGCAGTGTATGTGTTTATAGCTGAAGCTCGGGCCCGGTCCGGCAATGCTTGCGCAGCCGGTCGGCTGGGTGTGGTGCAGAAGGAGGGCAGTGCGCCTAGACTCGTCGGGGACAGCACAGTTTCTAATGCCAACCGGTTGTGCAGAATTGCCGATAAGATTGAGCTGCCCTCGTTGCAAGATGTGTCCAGTTTCTTGTCGCATCATGACGGGGAGTGGATAGCGTTCATCCTGGACGTGGCCAAAGCTCATAAGCGGGCCAAAGCGGCAGCTGCAGCTGCGGAGAGAGGGTACTCGCTGTTTGCAGTGACTGACGCAGACGGAGCTACACACTGGTTGTGCTACCGCACATGCCATTTTGGTTGTTCATGGGCGGCCTATTGGTGGGCCAGGACAGCAGGTGCATTCGTCCGGATCGCACATCGATTAATTCACCGACGGCATTTTCTGGCTATTTATGTGGACGACATTCTGGCCTTGATTCGCAGAAGTGAAGCCTCAACGGGTGCAGCCTTGGTCGTTTTCTTAGCCACTGCTCTAGGCGTACCAATAAGCTGGAAGAAGTTGGTGCTTGGCAGCTGTGTGAAATGGCTGGGTTGGATGGTGCGTCTAGGCGAAGCCCCGACGGCGCATCTACCAGAAGACAAGCGTATCTGCCTCCTAGGTGCGCTGCAACTGTTGCGCGTGGCTGGAGCCATGGTTTCACGGAAACATCTGGAGCAGCTGGTTGGTCCCTGTCTTGGTTCGCTTCTGGCGTGCGTTGGCCGCGGCCTTGGTTACGTCAATTGTTTCATCTGTTGCACAAGCCGTCAGTGGTGCTGCGAGCCCTGGACAGTGCGCAACTCACTGAGATCTCCCAAGTCGTAAGCTTGGAGGGTGAGATCCACACTTGCCAGTTCCTGTCTGACGTCATGCAAGGTTGTCGCATTTTGGAAGTCGGACATGTTCCTTTCCAGGGCCCGCGAGACGTGCTAAGAGCACAGGTGAAGCAGGGTCGCGCCTGGGTCAAATTTGGCGATGGTTGCTCCAAGGAGGTAAGAGTCGCCAAGGAGGAAGCACAGGTCATACAGGTCGCTGATTTCTATCACAGCCTGGTTTCAAAAAATGTGGAAGTGCAGCTGGTGCACAAGAAGGGACCGCATGTCCTGGCGGCAGCTGATGCATACGCGCAAGGACAGAGTGCTGGCATTGGGGGCTGGTGGATGCTACCGGGAGATGGGATTTGCCCAACGTCTATCTTTTGGTTTTCCATTGCTATTCAGGCTGCAGAGTTGCCGGACTGGTTTGTGCAGGAACATGGTCGTAGTGATCTGCAGAAATACATTTGCGTGCTTGAAGCTTTGGTCCAGCTTGTGCTCAGCAAGTTACTGATTGCGGACAGTTGGGTCGGCCCGACCTTCTCGTGTGCAGGACAGGTGATGTTATACGACAAAGCTGCGACAATTCGGGGGTCTGCGGCGCAGTCAGCAAGGCTTCGTCTATGCGGCGACCATTGGCCGACGTTCTGCAGGCTATGGCAATGCTGTGCATGCAGCCCCAGGTTGTTTTGCAGGTATCCCATGTTGCAGGTCAGCGGAATACATGGGCGGATCTGTTGAGCAGAGGGCGGGCAGCAAGCGGTTCGCCGGAGCTCTGGGCGTCACTAGACTCCCGCCGAAGCCGGACGGCCGACGGGCGTCGCCTTTTGGATGCTGGTCAATTGAGTCCATTGCGTTAGCTAGTGTTTGTTGCGCTTTGCTCCTTTCAGGTTGCTGGCCGCGCGATGTCTGGAGGTTTTTGAAACCACTGGGGATATTGCGGCCGGGCACTTTTGGCAGCGGCTTTGCTTTGGATGCCATCAGATACGTGAATGGAACGGTTGCATTTATCACTGGCTGCCAAAAAAGCGCTCTTCGTGTGATCCATATAGATGGGATGGCTACTAGACGATAGGGATTTCCAAGCCTTGAAAATGCACTTTGGCTTTGAGACCAGATTGAAGCATGTGCGGTGCGATTTTTCAGGTTTATCAACGGCATTGAGGTCCAGATTTGTTGAAACCAGGGCCAAATGCGTTTAGCCCGTGGAAGAGGCACGTGGGCTTGGTCCGGCTCTTCGGAGCTCGATCTGAGTTCGGGGAGTGGGCGCACCTTGAAACAGTTCTAAACGCGTTTTCCATTCACGCATTCTGGCGTTGGTTGGAGTGTTGGAAGCAAAAATGCGAGCATTTGCGGTACGATTTTCGGGCTTCGGGACGGCATTGAGTTCCAGATTTGTTGAAACTAGGGCGAATGCATTTCGCAGGCTTCGGAAAAGTGTTTGATTTTTGTCGGAGGAAGACAAAGGGGCACCCGGCAATGGCGACCCACGGACAGGGATATATGAAGGGAGGCAATAGTCCCTTCCCCCATTTATTGAAGACCACCCCAAATTATAAAAATACAGTGGCCCAAATCCACCCGGAATTAGCCCTGCCTTTAAAACCCAAATTGAATTAGGGGGGTTAGGGTTAAGGGTTCTCTCCGTTTTTTTTGAGGGCTCTGTCTGTGCGAGCCTGGCTCTCCGGCCTGATAAAAGACAGAAACAATAAGCTGTCTGCTTGTCTCTGGGTTTAGAGCTAATTAAGGGTTTAGGGCAGTATGGCATGAAAAATTGAAGCTTTGTATCATCAGCGATACTAGAAATCGTCGGTTTCTGAAGAGGTTTAGGAATCGTGGCAGACACCCAGGAGTCCGGCACGGGCTCAAGAGTTGAATCTTTGTTTAAGCAGCGATACTAGATCTTTATTATTGCCATGTTAAGTAAGCCCTTATTATGGAATAATTAAGCCCTTCTGATAGCCATAAGAAGCCCTTATTATGGCAATATTAAGCCCTCATTATAGCTTTCTAAGCCTTTATTATGGCCATATTGAGCCCTTGTAGCCACACAGTCCAGAAGCAAGGGTGGCAACTATATAAGAAGTGTGACATCACGAAAGTACTGCAAATACCGAGGAAAGCGGCTCTGGTGGTAATATTGTTGGTTGTGTTTGCGTAACACTGTCGTCATCATCCCCCCCCACCCCCCCACC